TATTTGAGTTGAGATTTTCCTGGTTCTTGGTATGACAAGTGATTTACAGTTGAATTCTAGACATTTGAGACTCTGACTCTTTTGTAAGTTTTTGAGAGGTTTTGCTATAGGGCATGTGTGCTTACCAGACAGACAGAGAGAGTCAGAGATAGAAACTGAGAAATCACCCCCCAATGGGGATGGTCACACCGCAATCCCTTCTCCTCCATTCTCCTCTTGGGATCTTGGGCACGCACGCACATGTGCCCAGAGTGAGTTTAAGCCACCAGGTCTGGGACTCGAACTGCAGTCGACTATATGGGAGTCCAGCAATGTAACCACTACGCCATTGGACTGAGACTGCTGGTTCTGAGACTCTGACTCTTAATTAAACCTTCTTCTTTAGCTAGGTTATTTTTGACAAAGCTCTGGCAGGGGAAGGGAAGGAGGGGCTACCTTGTTATTTCTGGGTAAAGGTAGAAGTTCAGGTTCCCCTTTTGGCCTTCACGGACACTTGAGGCAGTAAGGATTCTTATTTATTTATAGATATTTTTGCTATAGGGCGCATGCGCTTGCTGGAGAGACAGAGAGACAGAGAGTAAGAAATCACCCCTCAGGGGGGATGGCCATACCACAATCCCTTCTCCATTCTCCTCTTGAGATTTCAGGCATGCATGCACACGTGCCTAGAGTGTTCCAAGACACCAGGTCTGGGGCTCAAATCATAGTTGGCCATGTGGGAGTCCAGCACCTTAACCACTATGCCACCTGCTGGCCCCAGGGACTCATTATTATGGCTGGGTAAGGGTGAGGGCTCTGGTTCCCTGCTAGGCCTTCACTGGTACCACAGCAGAGGAAAGCTGACTTGTTTATTGCTGTGTGGTGATGAAAGACCTGACTTTTCATTAGGCCTCTGACATGAACCCGCATGGAGTAGGAGCAGAGTTTCATTACCGCCCAGCAAAGATGAAAGTCGTGTTTCCCTTTACGGCTGCCTCTGATACCATCTGCACTGGGGGTGTCAGGCAACTCATTACATCTGGGTAAAGGCCATTCATTCGGTCTTTGTTGGCCTAGGTAGGCTTGATGCCAGTTTTTGTTTGTTTTTTCCTTCCCTTGATGTTTGACTGGAGTAGAGCAATTAAAGATTTTTAGTCTTGCTAGTCTTTTGCAGTCCTGTGGCTATAATAGGCACATTTTGTCAGAGATTTAATATATACACATATATACAGATATATATGTATGTGTGTGTGTGTATGTTGTGATTTTCTTTCTTTTTTCTTTTTCTTTCTTTCTTTCTCTTCTCCTTCTCTTCATCTTCTTCTTCCTCCTCCTCTTCTTCTTCTTCTTTTTTTTTTTTAAAGTTTTTGCCATAGGGTACATACATTTGCCAGAGAGGAGAGAGACAGCGAGCAGGAAAGTGAGAAATCACCCCTCAGTGGGGGATGGCCACACCACAATCCCTTCTTCTCCATTCTCCTCTCGGGATCTTGGGCACTCACACAGATGTGCCCAGTGTGATCTTCAAGCCTCTGGGTCTAGAACTTGAACCACAATGGTCTATGTGGGAAGCTGCCTTAACCACCACACCACCTGCTGGCCTCTGTCAGGGATTTTTGTTGTTATCTGTGAGTGCTGGCACTTTGGGTTTCTGACTCCTTCAGTTCTAAGTTTGAGGTATATAAGGCAAAAAGGAAACCACGTTTGTCCCTTGGATCTTGAGATCCTGAGCCAGTCTGCCCTCTTCTTTCCACCTTTCTTTTTTTGGGGGAGAGGATTTTTGCTTTATGGCGCGTGTGCTCGCCAGAAAGACAGAGAGAGACAGAGAGATAGAAAGCGAGAAATCACCACCCGAAGGGGGGCGGGGGATAGCCATACCGCAATCCCTTCTCTTCCATTCTCCTCTCGGGATCTTGGGCATGCACGCACACGTGCCCGGTGTGAGTTTAAGCCACCGGGTCCGGGACACGAACCGCGGTCAACTACGTGGGAGTCCAGCAACATAGCCATTACACTAACAGCTGGTCCCTCTTCTTTCCACCTTTCAGTCTAATGTCCAAGGTTTTTGCTTGTACTTAGCAGGAGGAACAGGAAAAACTGTAATTATTCCATCTTCCTAGTAACATAATGCTCCTCCTTTTTTAGATGAAAAAAAAAAAAAAAAGCTAAGTTTGGAAGAAGAGCCAAGAGCCCAAGGCCACTTACATAATTAATAGGTCATTGACATATTGCTTGCACTTTGTCTTCTGCCATAAGGATGAATTTTTTAATCACAGGAACTATATCTTCTTTTTTATTTTTAGTCTCTGTTGAAGCACCCAATTTATTCCTCTGTACCCAGTAATTATACTTTATTGATGCTTATTATGTGACAGGCTCTGGGCTGAGGGCTTTGCATGCATTTTATTACCTAAGCCTAACAAGAACCCGGAAAACACAAATATTACTTCCACTTTACGTAAACATGAGAAATGGGGGCCCACAAAGGTAAAATCACTTCCTGCAGCGCGTAAGTGTCAGGGCTAGAGCCGGCCCCTACAATAGCCTGCCTCCGCTGCTCACCGAATAGGGAAGTAAATAAATCCTCACCCAGTGAAAGGTGGTCCCGGGGAGAGCAATGGAAACCAGCGGGGCAGTGGGCTAGCGGAGGAGACACGAAGCTGCAAGACGTGGCTGCAGCTCAGTGCGTGAGGCTTTAAGTGGTAGACTCACAGAGGAAGCGACAGACACGGCCGAAATAAGTTTCGAGACTGTGATGCTGGCCATGTTATTGTTATTCCATGTCTGACTCCAACGTTTACTAACCTAAAATATGGGATGTGGACCTATGAGTGCTGTTCTTGCTTTTTTTTGTTTGTTTGTTTTTTGTTTTTTTGAGAGATTTTTGCTATAGGGTGCGTGCGCTTGCCAGAAAGACAGAGAGAGACAGACAGAAAGTGAGAAATCTCCACCACCACCACCACCCCCGGGGGGATGGCCACGCAGCTTTGGAATCTTGGGTTATTTTTATATAAAGTAACTTTAAAAAAAAATTGGCTGGGGCTGGCAGGTGGCGTGGTGGTTAAAGATGCTGGACTCCCACATGGCTGGCTATGGTGCGAGTCCCGGACCTGGTGGCTGGCTTTCTCACTTTCCCTCTCTTTCTTTCTCACTCTCTCGCTCTGTCCCTCTCTGGGCAACTAAAAATAAAAATAAATAAATAAATAAAGTTAAATAACATAATTCTTTAAAAAACAATTTGCAAGAGGATGATTACTCTCCCTGGAAAGAGACAGAGGGAGAGAGAGAGAGGGGAAGGGAGAAAGCAGCCCCCATGGGGGGCTTCTATTTGTCCTTTATGGATTTTGGACATGAAGACACACATGCCTGGCATGTTTTTCAAGCCACTGGGTCTGGAGCTTGAGCTGTGCAGTTGGCCCTGTGAGATGCAGTCGTCTCAACCACTACACCATTGGCTGGCCCCTGAAGTAACTTTTAAAAAAGGTAAATTCAGGACCAGCAGATGGCGTAATGGTTACTTTGCTGGACTCCCACGTGGTTGACTGCAATTCCATTCCCAACCTGGTGTGCAGTGCCCAAGATCCCAAGAGGAGAGTGAGGAGAGGGGATTTTGGTGTGGCCATCCCCCACTGGGGGTGATTTCTCGCTTTCTGTCTCTCTCTCTGGTGAGTGCACGTGCCCTATAATGAAGAAGAAGAAGAAGAAGAAGAAGAAGAAGAAGAAGAAGAAGAAGGAGAAGAAAATTCAGGAGACCAGGAGGTTATGTTTATAGCCTCAGCTTTCCTACTCCCACAATCCCTTGCACTCCCTTTCCATACTAGGCCGGGCAGAGTGGCTCCCGCAGAGTGGTGACAGGAGGAAGGGCCTTTCTGCCATCAACGAGGTGGTGACCCGGGAACACACCATCAATGTTCACAAGCACATGTGTGGCTTGGGTGTCAGGAAACGCGCCCCTCGGGCATTCAAAGAGATCCGGACATTTGCCATGAAGGGGATGGGGACTCCAGATGAGTGCATTGATGCCAGGCTCCACACAGCTGTCGGGGCCAGAGGAACAAGATACGTCCCATACTGCGTCTGTATGCCGTTGTCCAGAAACCATAACGGGGATAAAGAGTCACCCGACAAGCTCTTCACACTGGTGACCTGTGTACCTGTCATTACTTTCAAAATCTAGTCGATGTGGATGAGAACCAACTGCTGATTTTCAAATAAAGTTATAAAACCACACACACGGGACCAGCAGATGGCATAGTGGCTATGTTGCTAGACTCCCACATATTCCACCAAGGTTCGAGTCCTGGACCTGGCGGCTTAAAACTCATGCCGGGCATGTGTGCATACATGCCCAAAATCCTGGAGGGGAAGGGATTGTGGCATGGCCATCCCCATGGGGGGTGATTCCTCATTTTTTGTCAGTCTGTCTCTCCAGCAAGCGCACACGCCCTATAGCAAAAATTCTCTCTCTCTAAAAAAAAAAAAAGGGACCAGCAGGTAGTGTGGTGGTTAAGGAGACTCACTGGACTCCCACATGACCAACCGCATTTCGAGTCCTGGACCTGGCGGGTTGCCTTCTTACTTTCCCTCTCTCTCGCTCTCTCTCACTGTGTCCCTCTCTGGTCAAATTAAAATAAATAAATGAGTAAATAAATAAAATAATTCTTTAAAAAATCAAAAATAAAAATAAATAAACTCACACACACACACAAAGGTAAAAGCTGGAAAAAAAAAGTGGAGCTCTGGACCCTAGCCACCAGGTCCCTCCTTTGTCTTACTGGAGAAGGGCGTGATGAGAAGGTTCGGTGTCTCACCCTAACCCAGTCATGGATGACTTCTGGAGACGGAGACATGTCATCACCCAGGCGACAAAGAGACAGCCCACTCGCACATCTCAGAGGTTTTCCAGAGATACGTCAAATCCCCAAGATAGTAGGGTGGATCGCAGGAGCAATGAAAGGGAGGGGACTATTTATAGCCCCTTTCTTTAGTTCTTTTCGGGGGTTCAGAGACTCAGATCCTACCTGGATAATCCCGGTCAGGAAAGTTGTGGTTGCCACCACGCTCAAAGACCTGTTATACGCCTTATAGAAGTAGGGAGCGGAAAAGTCATCCTTGATGAACGAGCCCATGATCAGGTGGCCACTGTTGAATGGGCTCACCTTTAGGACGTTGATCATCAGGGCACTCACGAGGAAGAAGGAGCCTAGGGAGGAGACAGTAGGCAAAGGTGAGATCAAACGTCCAGGTGAACTGACAGAGTAACAGAAGCATGGCATGGCTTCATTATTTTTTAAAGAATGATTTTATTGGGAACCGGCAGTTAGCATAATGGCTATGTCGCTGGACTCCCACGTAGTCAACCGCGGTTCGTGTCCCGGACCCGGTGGCTTAAAACTCACACCGGGCACGTGTGCGTGCGTGCCCAAGATCCCGAGAGGAGAATGGAGGAGAAGGGATTGTGGTGTGACCATCCCCCCCTGGGGGGTGATTTCTCGCTTTCTGTCTCTATGTCTCTGTCTGTCTGGTGAGTGCACGCACCGTATAGCGAAAAAAAACCTCTCAAAAAAAATGATTTTATTTAACTTTATTTATTTATCTATTTATTTATTTTAATTTGACCAGAGAGGGGCAGA